CGCCCCAAAACCCCAAAACCCCAAAACCCCTTTTTGATATCTAAGTATTGAACATTATTAAAGAAAATGGAAGAAGTTTACGAGAAACTGAGTCAAGAGAACAAAGATAGGATTGAAAAGATATTCGGGTCACTAGGTAATTTCCAAAATTAATGTTTACAGACAATATCCTCCAGCCACCATCGTATAAATGTGAAGAGTAAGGATGTTATAGGATTTTTAGAGATAGACCGCTGGTGATCTATTCTATTGCAATGTCTGTGAAATCTGAAACAGATCTTACAGGTCTTAGAGTCATTCAAGTCAAAAATCCTACTGCACCCAAGAATTTTGAAGATATGTGGGGCTTCAACTTTATCAGGTATTCTTCATCCTTCCAGATTGATTCTCACAATGTAGATTGCTCAGTGATGCATACATTTCTTCTGGAGCCAACCTCAGAACTGGAGCAATTTTCCCAACAAAGTTCGAGAACTACGGCTTTGATGTGGAGGTAAGTCAAGACTCAGTGTTAGCTCGATGACGGCACTCCGATGATTCTACACAGAGGCAAGAAACGACTTGCCATCAGAACTCGCAAAGTCGATGAGTCAAAAGGTAACTTTGTAAAGTAGTGCCATTAAGTGTGTAGAGCATATGACTGAATACTACAAACGTAAGCCAGCATTAGCCAAATACTACGACTGGACACTTTACACAGAAGAAGCCAAATTGGATGATGAGCATGTGCAATACCTTGAGAACAACGAACTGCACAGTTCAGAGTCTGGGAGTTCTGGTCTCAACATTGTGGAAGACCTTTACTTGAACAAAGGCTGTCAGACTGTGATTGCTGAGGCAGGCCCCAAGACATGTCATAAGTACTTCGTTGTGTTGACTGTGTAGATACTTCAAGAAAGGTCAAGCTGCTCAGAATCCTTTCGATGTGATCTACCTGGCTCTACATTTTGGAGTGGTCGACAAAGAAAACCTTGTCTACGGTAAGTGGCTACTGACACATAGGCGACGAATGTGCCATCGATTTCTTGGCACCAGAAGAAGCAGAGGACTCTGAGTACAATCTCAGAGATGGCTTTGAGATAGTGCATGAGCGTAAGAGTCGTGTGACATTTAGAGGATGAAGAGGTTGGCGGAGCCAAGTGGAGATACTATGTGTTGCACAAGAAAGTATAAAACTAGCTCAATTAGTACTAAAAATCTTGGGGTTTTGGGGTTTTGGGGTTTTGGGG